ACATTTTTCGATCAGCTAGAGGAGAATGCACTCTCCTTATCATTGTTGGTTCCAACACTGCATCAATTGCACCGCTCTTTTTTGTTTTGTTTGGATTTCTTACTTTCTTCGATAGACTTTAAGAAAGAGTTGCAAACCGACCAGGTTAAATATTGATGCGAGTGAACGAGCGTTTCCGATGCCAAATGCTGCCGCTTGCTCCACTGCATGCTGTTCGGGATCGTTAACTGTGCATTTGTCCAAAACGTCAATCCATGGCGAGTTCCGCAGTGACTTTTTCAAGGGACTTTCCTGAACATAACTCGTAATATTTCTATAAGCGAAAAAGCCGTTTTTTCAAGATATTGCGAATTCAGCGGCCTTTTAAAGAGTTTTTTCTATGACAACATTATACATACTTCTTTGGAGCCATTATTCCTTCCCACTACATAATCCAAAAACGGGAATAGCGCCTTCCGAGGTAGTGGATGCGTCCAGTGGAGAATGGGGCGGACTGAGTTTCACCTACTTTCGTGTCAAAAATGACAGTCTATAAAGACCCTTCGGTAGGAGAAGGACATTTTTCAACTGACAGGTTTGTTGGTTCCCATTTCTATCGTTTTCCCCTCTCATCCATCTTGAGCAATGACAGTGTATGTCATGGCGATGTATTTACTGCATACCCAAGTTTGGAATTCCTGAATGATTAGATGAATAAGGTACTAGATGGCAAGCAAAAAGTAAGGAATAAGCTGTGCTCAGCGTGCTGCTCGGTGTGCCTCCATCTAAACTACTGCAGAGTTCTTTTTGGGGAAATCTGAATCTGGTATACGGAAAGGGAGTATCTTTAATTCTTGAGATAAGGCTAAACATGGAAGTTCTGAAATGAATCAATGTCTCAGTGGATGATAGTCGAGATATAATTTATAAGTATGTAAAATTGGCAATAAATATTATGTAAACGAATGTTTCTATGAATAACCTCGGGAGCAAAGAAGAATTTCAGGAGCGCCAGGCCAAGTTTGAAATCATGCAAAACTTCTGCAAGCCCTCCTGCCACGGTTGGAAGAACAACTCGAGCAACTCGATACTCCTCAGAATGGTCCAGGCCTATGTGAAAGTCGACTCCTGAAGTACAGGTGATCTCTTTGTCCTAAATTAGTTTTATTAAATGATGAGACTCAAAGCCGGCACGATCTCTAGGAAACCGCTCTTTCGGGAGATAGATGTACCCAGGTAGGAGAATAGAAACTGACTTACCGTTTGGCTTCGCCACTTCTTCTCTGAAAAACTGTCCGATTCCTCGATGTTTCTCATCCGTGTGCCTTACAATCTGGTCTACTAGCCATCCGTAGGTGAACGTATGGTAACCGGTATGGCGCCCAGGTGGCCGTTTTGGAGCTTCCTTCTCCAACGCCTTTCTCATAAGATTATGATCTGTTATCATTTCTTTGGTGATTGTCGTATCCAGGTACGGTAGACCCGCCTGGAAAAGAAACTGAGGTTTTTAAGTTGGAGCAAGACAAGCAGAGGATGAATAGGACTGGAAAGAATAAAGTATTATTAAAAATCATGGGGAAGAGTACTGTTCTGAACTTCTGCCTCAGCGTGCAGGTGTTTCCCTTAATGGCTTGACTAGCTCAAGACCTCGAAGTCCTCTTCTCGTAAAAGAGGATTTTCGTCGTCCCCGTCTATGCCGAGCCGTACGATTCCTTGCGACTTACTCCTTTCTGGCCATATGAATCTTTCCAAGATTGCTCCACTAGGAGCCTTCCCTATGGCCTATTTATTCCACGAAATCGCGATTCATTCATTTGAGAAGTCCAAAGGTGCAGTGTCCAGTTCTGGTCGTAGGAGGGAACAACGGTCACGAGCAGGATACAATACCGGTTTGCGGGAGCGGGACTTACATGTGATTTTTTATTGATGGTGGAGGTATGTAAAGGATAGGTATTGATTGATAAGTGGTAAAGGCATTGCGATGCCCGGTTCGACTCATACTTCATTCACTTTTCGATCGCTCCTTTCTCAAAATTCACCCCAGACTGACGTACCATATGTGACATGACCCATTCGATAGTGACGTTGGCCTTGCCATTTTTTGCAAATCCTGGCCAGTATTTCGAGACGAGATCATCATACTTTAGACGTCCTCGATCGGCTAGCATCGCTATACATACAGCTGCAACAGCCTTAGTTGTAGAGAACGTCACCGTAACCGTGTCCTGAAAATCAGGCCTCGTCTACGGTTGGCCATTTGTTGTCTTGAATGCAACTCGACGTACTTCTTTCCAAATACGAGCTGCTTGCTTATCAGCATATCCACCCCATAGGTCGACCACTTTACGTCCTTTCACGAATACAGCAAGGGATGCTCCTTCGGGTTCCCAGCCATCGCGGAAGTTTTGCCTGAAAGAAAGACTCCTCGTCTGCTTGAGACGTTACTTTATACTACGTATCTTAAACTTTGGCTCGTATACAAAGTTCAAATTCTGAGAAAAACTCACTCAAAAGCTTCGCGAACCCTCTTGTATCCTGCTTCTACGTGTCCACCAAAGTGAAGTGGGAGTTTCGTATGGAGCTTGTTGATGATGAAGTGGGACAGAAACGCAATAAAAGCAAGAATGAACGCATATCGCAGTAGACCCATTCAATCTGGGACAAGAAGTTAGTATCCTCAATTGATTACTATTCAGTAGCTTTTATAATATACTTTTTTATCTAGAACGTCCATTAATTTTACTATTAATTTACTTATTTCATTACCGTCCGTTTCTTTAAATCCTATAGAGCAGGAGTGGTTTTTTGTGTATAAAAAATTAACACGATTCCTGGCTATGCAAACCGAAACTACTTACCCGATTTCTCGGTAGACAATGATTTTCAAGATTAGTTCAAAATAGGGCGGAGGTAGCGTATTTGCAAGAGGGAAGTGCGATTCTATCGCTGAGATAACGGAGTCACGCAGTTCTTATGACTCGCGACGTACTGCTATAGTAGAGTTTCAATGTAACCATTCGGAACGGCTGAGCCCTTTCTTGCCTAATGTGATTTTATGCAGAATGACGGTTGTTGGGCAGAGGTTGTATATAAAGGCAAGAGGCGCATTATTTCAGACCCGTATATTCCGGACATGGGATCCTGAATCGATATCCACCCACTCCCACCAAGTCTCACATCTCCCCGGGGTCGGTGTACTGGTATCAGACTCGTCTTGGTGGATGAAAATTCTGACTTCTACATGAGCTGACCATCATAAGTCATTGTATAGGCTACATAAGCATTCAAAACGCCACTACAGTTATGAATGGAAGTCGAGTGCAGGGCGCATTCCAAAAAGGGATTGGTTGTTGCCAAAGGAGTTCATTTTAACGCTTAGTTTAAGGTGGTTTCTGAACCAGGGACTGAACAAGACATCAGTTGCTCATAGTCATTTGCCAACGACCTTTTGGGCCTAAACCCCTTCTTCAAACTGGTTATTAAGAAGAAACATAGGGCCCAACATTAATCGGTCCTCAAAAAAATTCGATTCAAAAGGGAGACCATCAGAAAACAGAATGAAATAAAGTAGAGACTCTCACAACTGGGAACGTTTTCTCGGCTAGACGGCTACTATGCCTGCGTCCATTTCTTTTCCCATCAAAAGAGACAATGACATCTGATAAGGAATGTTACGAAGTGAAGCTGTGGGCTGTATTCAAGTATCAGAGGAATATTGGAAGGTGAAAATCTAAGAAAAAATAGCGGCAGAGTTTCTGTATAACAGTCTCCTTTGGTAAAAGAAGTAAGAAACCAGATAATTAAGGACAAAACGACCTTGGCAATGCTGACTTTTCAACAACACAGGGAACACAGGGTGAAATAAAGGTCGTTTGATTGCTCGACAATCGATTATCGCTAGTGATTTGATGTCAATATTTGTTTTTATAGGTTCTTCTTAGAAATAACGTCGTCATTTGAAAAACTTGCCAGAATCAATAGAATCCTGTCTTGGCTGGTCTTGTTCTCATCGCTCAAATTTACCTTCGCTCTACAATTCTATGGAAATCGAAAAAAAATTCAAAAAATCCAATTGGCAACTAAAAAAACGAACTTCCTTACCGTTGATTACGTAGGTTTTAAATTAACATGGAATGTTCAGCGAATTCATTCCCACAGAACTACGCAGTAGTACTACCCTCGTCTCCGAATCAATTTATCATAGTTTTTGGTGTGGCCGCCTTCTGTCGATTTTACTGTACAGTCTGACTATCTTTGCACATTGCTGTGCTGTGGCCAACTCTACTCAGCTCGATTTCGGAGGGTCCAGGAGAGAAGGGGTGGGGGAGGGGGCGGGAAGGCTGAAAGTGAATCCAACATTTTGAAGATATTGAAGGCTCAGCATTACCTGAATGACTGACAAAGTTTTTTTTTGCTTTGGCGAGTCTTATTTGGGGAAGCGCCCCGCATTCGACCTGCATCCAGGGCAGTAGCGAGTTCGACGATGCATACCTGTTTGCTCTTCATAACGGCTGAGGAACTAGACGTAGAAATTAGCGTCCCATCCTCTTAAAATTACTGCTCGATCCTCTTTGATTCGTAAAATACTTCTGAGGACTTTTCCGTATAAGACCCTCTTTGGGACATTTTCGCTTTTCTCCTATACTGCTGATGCTTTCAATTTATGCTCTTTTTTCCTGAAATCGGTTCCTTCCTGAAACTAATTTTCAAGAAGAGCTGTGAAAACACAACACAACTGATCACATCAAAAGCTTTATTAACTTTTTTTCTATAACAAAAGTTAGTTGTTCAAAGTATCATACAG